ATCCTCCCCCAGCCAGGTTTCCGTAAAGCATGCCAGGTCGGCATCCTCATCCAAAAGAAGATCTTGGATAATAAGATCTTGATGGTGACCCTATCAAGGGGATTTCTAGACAAGATTTGTTCAAAGGAAGTTTGCCATTGTCATACCCTGAGACAGAGAGAGTGTGACTTGCCCACCTATAAGTTTACATGGTTGACCAGGATTTGAACCCTGCTTTCCAGAATCATAGTCCAACACTCAAACCATTTCATCGTGCTGTGAAATGTTACCTTACTTAAAGGGCATCTATTTGAAATAAAATTGAAATAAGAGGAATTGTTCTGTATTTCATCCAAATGAAGCTGTAAATTAAGAGAAAAACATGACATTGCCTGTTAGCTCTTCTGATTGTTATATACCTCATTTACAGTCCGTATTCTGCCACTTTGGCAGAAGAGTACTTTCTGGTTATTAAAATAACAGAGGGAGAAGGAAACTGTAGGTAACTGAGAAGTTGTGACTTCCATTTTAAGAGTGACCTTTAACTTGCTAGACTCCACAAAATAACTAGCATGGCATTGCCACATTTCCAACAGGGGTTACTTTCTCAGCATTCATCTCTTGATGAGGAACGGGTAAAAAGTGGAGAGGCACGAGTGGAAATAAGTCATTTTATAAATCTGCTTATCTGGCTAAAACCATCCTAGCTTTGAATTCATTTGAAGAACTCATCCCGGGAGCAACAAATCAATCAATGCTTCTGACAGAGGGACTGACTTACTACACCAGCCCTCTTCCACCTGACAAAGAATACAGGACAGAGTTTCATTGCTGTTGAATCCCATTTGTGGTGACCCAGGAATCATCAAGCTGTGCTACTGTGGTCATAGGCTTTAAAGACTTTCAGATTATCCATTTTCCTAACATATCGCAAGGTGGATTTGTATGTATTCTCTTTGACAGTGATCTTTCAGACCAAGTGCAAGAAAAGTTCTACAGTTACAGAAACTACATTCAGCTGAAGGTTCAAGGAGCTATTTTAGGGTACAGAACTGCTTCACTGAACCTCGGATCTGCTACTGCCAGTTATCCAGACTGACTTTTAAGAATTTTTAAAAAACATTGTTGTCTGTTTTTTATATTTAATGTATTTATACAAGAAGGATCATGGAAGATAGTCCACTGCCAATACTGACTTTGTCAACAGCTCCTTATTATGACCAGAAACCAGGAACTAGTGGCTTACGGAAGAAGACATACGTTTTTCAGACCAGGCTAAACTACCTGCACAATTTTATCCAGAGCATATTTTTTTCCATAGACCTTAGGGATCGACAAGGATCTACCATGGTAGTTGGAGGAGATGGGAGATATTTTAATAAGCTTGCAATAAAACTGATAGTTCAGATGGCTGCTGCCAATGGGGTTGGTATATCAAATATGATTATGCCACTAATATTAATCGATTTTTGATGGCTCCTTAGCATGTCAAAAGGTCTCTAAATGTTGTAATGCACTAATACACATTTTTTCCAGGATGCTGTTACAGGCTATTAAAGAGAAAAGAGACTTCACAGGGAAAAATTGGCATAGTGGCATTGAGGACCATTGTTGTTTGATGTTTTCTGTAGTCTGGCTTTGAGAAGAAGCTGAATGTTGATGGAGGTGTAGAAATATTACTAGTTACTTGTTTTTGTGTTGCATCCAGGATGCAGTTGGTTGCAATGCAAATTTTAGGTTAACATATTTAAATACTGAGGTAGTTTTCAAATAAATGGTGATGTTAATCTCCTGCGGTATAAAAAGGAGGAAGCAAGGGGGAGAAAAAACACCACCCATTACTGCATCTGAAGAAGTGGGTTTATATCCACACAAGCTCATAAAGATATAAAAACCAGTTAGTTGTAAAGGTGCTCCTAAATTTCTTTCTCTCCCTTCCTTGCTCCTTTATGTGTTTCAGTTATTGTGATGCA